AATTTTTCTCAACAATTTCAATACCCACAAGAACATCCTGTCTCCATATCTGACCAAAGTCTGACTTCTCATTGAGAAAGTGAAGTTCATCTTGTTTCTTTTTCCTTGTCGCTCTTAGATTCTTTTCCCTATCTCTCTCCTTTTACTTAAATGCCATTTCCTATTCTTATCTATTTATTGTAATGGATCCACAATTTTTCTAGTAATCCAGATTTGGTACAGTCTCCTCCTTTCCCTTACTAAGTTTACTGATTCTACTATAATAACTATTAAGAAATCAGGGAAGATTTATTTAGGGTCCTTGACTGAGGCCTCAGGGTAAGAGGAGCTCGGAGAAATGAATAGGAAGGACCAGATATATTTCCGCCATTTTCACTTCCTCAACAAATATCTCTTCTATCATTTTTCTCATCTACCTCCTATAATATAATTTTCTCTCTGGATATTTCCTAAAAACACAAATGTGCTGTTATTTCTTCTATCTTAAAAAAAGAACTATATTAATTGAGTAAGGCTTCCATAACAAAATATCACAGACAGGGTGGCTTACAAAGCAAAAATTTATTTCTTACACTTCCGGAAGCTAGAAATCCAAGATCAAGGAGTTAGCATGTTTGATTTCTCCTGAGACCTCTCTCCTTGGCTTCTCACAGTGAAGGGTAGACAGCCACCTTCTCACTGTGTCCAGCCGTGGTCATCCCTCTGTGTGTGGGCATGCCTGTTGTCTCTCTGTGTATTTTAATCTCTGCTTTCTACAAGGATACTAATAAGATTAGGTTAGGCTCACCTTACAGTCTTTATTTTCACTTAGTTATCCTTTGAAAGACTTTATCTCTAAATAAAGTCACATTCTGAGATTACTGGGGGTTGCCACATGTACCTCATGTGAATTTTAGGGGGACATAATTCACTCCATAATAAAACCAACAAAATCCCACTAATTTCCTCTTTTTACTCCATTTTTTTCTCCTACTGCTATCTCATTACTTGCTCCCCTTTATAGGAAACCTCCCAAGAAAGTTGTATATACTGGCTTTCTCCACTTCCCCCCGCCCCATTCTCTTTTAATCTTACTCTATTCAGCTTTTTGTTTTTAGCTCTTCATGAAAACTACTTCAGTGGTCAAGGTCACTAATAATCTTTTTTTTTTTTTTTTTTT